AAACATGATTGTAAGGCTAAACCAGTTTTCTATAACCATCACCATCCATTTTACGGCTTAAAAATTCCAAGTCTAGCCCTCACACAATATACTAGACTCATACATGAGGCATGTAATCACCGACAGGATGATACATGTAACATACAACACACTTTGAAACAATTTTCTATTAAAAAAAAAAAAAGAAAAATACATACGCACACTTGAAACTAATTTAAACATCAGCTAACTGGCCCATCTATCCGATGCAACGATCAAATATACTCCTATAATGAACCGTTGGAATTACTGCAGCACACCACTGGAACAAGTTTGTAGCCCAAACTTTCATTTTACCAATAATTGTAGTGATATAATTAGAATTGGACCCTGTGTTGATGGTAATGGGCAGTATTGGTCGGCTTAAGTCCCGAATCAAGCTGTGAATAAGGTGTCTAGCAAAGAGGAGCCATACAAGTAACCAAAATAAGGCGATATATGGTTTGTTAATTGAAAGAAGGGAAATTACAGCCAATGAACCTGTTAGGAAGGTGATTGTTTGCAAGATTTCACTCCATTGATGTGCGCGAAAGTAGGAATGACCTCTGAGACTGACATCGGCAACTAGTGTTACAGCACACAGCATCATCATCGCACAATATGTGGACAGCATGAAAGAATGCAAGAGAGGACTGAGGACAGGAAGTTGTATGAGAGGAGTGAAGGCTGTTATTATTAGGCTCAATATGACTGTTATTTCGGCAGAAAAGGAGTTGCCCAACCTGCAAAGCAAAACCACAAGGGAAAGTTTATTTAAAAAAAAAAAACAAGAACAAACCGAGAAGATAAAAAGAAAGAGAGAACAAATGAACAACCTCAGAATTTGGCCGCCGGGGGATGACATCCTTCGTCGATCCAAGCACTGACCGAAAAAAAATAAAATATATAAATATTGATTCTTCCTATCTCAAGCTGTATTGTTGAATTCAAGCAATGGAATGAACTGCCCGTCATATATATAAGAAATTTATGGCAAGCACGCTGTTCCAATTTTTGGCTAAAGTAAGTCAAACACGACAAGGAATAGAAAGTATTGATGCTAAATTTCGGCTCGTCACTTGAGCCAAACTCCAAGCCAAAAACTAGGCTCACTTTGTGCTCCTACCTCAACACCTATCCCAATCAACAGGGAATAGAAAGTATTGAGGCTAAATTTTGAGTCAAGTAAGCCAAACTCCGAGCCAAATATTGAGCTCCAACTTTCTGCAAGCCAAACATTGTGCTCCAACTTCAACACTTGTCACAATCAATAGAAAGCAGAAAGTATTAAGCAATCCATTGCCTATTTTCAAAAAAAAAAAAAAAAGAAGAAGAAGAAAGTACTAAGGAAAATTTTTGGCTCAAGTGAGCCACTTCGAGCCAAAAACTAGGCTTACTTTGTGCTCCAACCTCAGCACCTATTACAATCAACACCTGTCACAGTCAGTAGGGAATAGAAAGAATTGAGGCTACATTTTAGCTCTAGTGAGCCACAACTCCTAGCCAAAAACTGGGCTCACTTTGTGCTCCACCTCAACCCGTCACAATCAATATGAAATAAAATATTTTCCTATTGTGATCTATTAGTAGTAATACAGTCCAAAAGAACTATCGGTAAAATACATCCCGATCAATGGTCAAACCTTGCCAAAAAGTAAGATATTAACTTTTAATTCTTAACTCCTAATCATTACCTTTATAAAAAAAAAATGAAATAAAAAGTATGGAGGCTAAAATTTGGCTCAAGCAAACCAAACCCTGAGCCAAATATTGGGATCCAACTTTCTCCAAGCCAAACATGCTCCAAATTCAACACCTGTCACAATCAATAGAAAATAGAAAGTATTAAGGAAAAATTTTGGCTAAAGAGAACCAAACTCCAGGCCAAAAACTGGGCTCCAACCTCAACACCTATCGCAATCAGTAGGGAGTAGAAAGTATTGAACCTAAATTTTGACTCATGTGAGCCAAACGCCGAGCCAAAAACTGGGCTCCAACTTCCTTTGAGCCAAACATTGTCTTCAACACCTGTCACAACCAATAGAAAAAATTTTGACTAAAGTGAACCAAACTCCGGACCAAAAGCCGGGCTCCAACGTCAACACCTATCCCAATCAGTAGGGAATAGAAAGTATTGAACCTAAATTTTGGCTCAAGTTAGCCAAACTTCGAGCCAAAAACTGGGCTCCAACTTCCTTTGAGCCAAACATTGTCTTCAACACCTGTCACAACCAATAGAAAATAAAAAGTATTGAGACAAAATTTTGGCTCAAGTGAGGCAAACTCCAAGCCAGAAACTGGGCTCCAACTTTCTCCTGGCCAAACATTGTGCTCCAACTTCAACCCGTCACAATCAACAGAAAACTGAAAGACTTGAGGCAAAATTTTCGCCCAAGTGGACCAAACTCCGAGCCAAAACTGGGCTCCAACCTCAACACCTGTCACAATCAATGGAGAATAGATAATATTGAGGCTAAATTTTGGCTCGAGTGAGCCAAACTCCGAGCCAAAAACTGGGCTCCAACCTCAATACCTTTCCCAATCAACACTTGTCATAATCAATGGGGAATAGAAAGTATTGCGGCTAAATTTTGGCTCATGTGAGCCAAACTCTGAGACAAACACTACGCACCAACTTTTGGCTTAGGTGAGCACAACAATCGGATCCAACCTCAACACCTGTCTTAATTAATAGGGAAATGAAAGAATTGAGGCTAAATTTTGGCTCAAGTGAGTTAAACTTTGGGCTCCAACTTCTAGCTAGAGAGTCAGACGGTGTGCTCCAACCTCGACACCCGTCACATTCAAGAGGGAGGAAAAAGAAAGCCAACAATTGAAATTCACAAGTTTAATATTATTATTTAAAGAAACAAAGAAAGAAAAATGACGAGTAGACTCAAGCCAGACGCCATGAAAAATGACGAGTAGACAAAGCCAGACGCCATGCAATAGCTTAGGGCTAGGCTTTCAGCAGATGTTTGTTAGGTATGGAGAGGAGACCTTCAAAGTCAATTCCATACACCCTAATTTTACATACCACAAAAGAATGACAAGAAAATTCCAAGAAAGATTGTTTTGTCTGGCATTACGTGGTACCCTTACTCGTCAAGCCAGTAATCCTCCAAAATATTTATCAACTAAACCGGTTGCCACATTTCTCAACTCTTCATTTTCATGAAATTGGAATCTTTCCGTGGCATCAATCCCACCCTCTCGTTCAACAAGCTTTCAACCCTCTCCGTTTGGCATTCCCCTTGACACCAGCACGAGGAATTAACTGTGTGTGTTACGAACAAAGTTTTGCCATCATGTGAACAAAACATCACCAATAAACTTGTCCATGTGGGGAAGGAAATCCAAGGTATTTAAGAGTGGCAGATAGTTGAGCCTTGTTAAGTTTACAGTTACCCAATGTTTGCCTTAAGTCATTTCATTGTAGCAACCACAACAACAACCAGTAAACTAGGATGGAATCAATTCAAACATCTAATCCGCTATAGTAAGTGCTTAATTGATGCAAAAAGCGACTGATAAGCTAATTATTAGATTTACTTACCAGATCCATCAATTGAGTCTTGCAGGCACCCTTTCTGAACAAGAGAAACCGAACGCTTCACAATCAGATTTGGCTTTCCATCACCCTCTGTTGGGGCAACACAGATGTTTCCCAAGACACAGGCCACTTCCCTTCTTAAATCAAAAGGTGCCAGAGAAGGAAGGCATAACAACAAAGGCAGTGCCTCACTAGAATATATCAGCTGCTTATGCTTGATGGAACCAGCAGCTATGTTTGATAGAACCCATGCTGCTTCCTACAATAACAGCAAAGTTTTGACTGAGAATTGCTGATGATGATTAATGCCAAAACAATAAATATATACCCACTCACCTTCTTCAAGACCCTGTGTTCACTCTTCAAACATTTTACTATAACTTTTATGACATTATCTGAAATGTTTGGAGATGTTAATAATTAAAATGTAATGAAGACAATAATTCAACAACTTAGCAAGTGCAAGCATTTACTAGCCTGTGATTTCATGTCCAGGAATGACAATTGCAGAAGTTGTGTGTGAATCACCAGCAACAAGATTGCTCATGAACCTCGAAGCACCTAGAGGGAAAATTATCTATCAAATGGATGGTAGAGAGCTGGAATTGCTCATGATAAAGATGCGTGTGTAATGCAACACAAAATTAACACCTACCATAAAAACTCAAAAACTTACAAAGATGAAAAGTATTTAAATTAATTTTTGATAATGGAAATAGTAATCAGCAACCATACACTAGCACAAGAACAATGTGATGGACTGGTCATATATTAGCCTATGATGTGTCACAGTATTATCAAGAGAAAAAAAAAAAAAAAGAAGAAAAAGAGGTTAAAGAAAGAGTCATTTTTGTTTTACCGGAATGAGAAGTTGCAAACCATTTGTTGTTGCCAATCTTTCCACAAGAACTGGAAGGACATCACTCTTCACAAGCATGCTAGTGGCAAAATTGGAAAGGCTGAGAGACACACAACCACCCATGCTACTCCAGTTGCCAGTTCCTCACCCCTAAATTTCAGTTAAACATAAATTTGCATATCTAGTTTCCCCAGAATATATTTCCTAGAAAAAAAAAATTATATTAAAGCAAGGGCCAAAAAAATCACAATTAACAAGGCAAACGACTTGGCAAAGAGGATAGTCATAATCTTAAAAACCTAACTTCTAGATCAATAATAATCATCTTCCATAAACTAAAGAATATGCTTTCTGAGCCATTCATTTCATAGGCTCGTGCATCTAGAAATGGAGTCCTACATAGGTGATAGGTTAGCCAGATGCAGTTATGCTGTTTGGCTGAAAGAGCAGAATCAATGATAGAAACCTTTACAAACCATATCCTTCCTGCACATGGTGTGTATAAGAATGTTCAGAATTTGCAGTCCAAAAAGCCTTTAGAATCAGTAATAACCAGAATTCATTTTAGCTAGTTTCAAATCTTCACTAACAATTTTCTAAAGTGCTGGAGAATTGCATCTAGTACTCCCTCAACACTGATGAGTTCTGTTGCAGCTTTAGGATCTGGTCCCTACATTCAAGCACACTAAGGTATTTTTTGAAGGAAAACTTGAAAGTATATGCTCACACATACAAAGAACTACAACCACATCAATTGTAATTTGTAATTTAATAAAGCTCATTAATATCATATGACTGATTGTGAAATCCATTAATTAGAAAAGGTTCCAAAACCTTGGTAAGGTTTGAAAATGTCCAAGCAGCTGTTCTCACAGTTGAATTTTTGTTCAGCAGCATCATTCTTGCAAGCGGTGGTAAGGCCCCTTGAGACAGCAAAACATATCTCAACTCCTCTCCTTCATCAGCTACATTTCCTAATGCCACACACACTGCTCGGAAACAGTGAGGGAACTTTTTTCTACAAATAAGACAATTTTGACATACTTTTAGCTCATTAACCTTTTTTCTAGTAGAAAGATTATGATACTAAAATGTTGAAAGATTAGGCATTTTTCTTTAGTTAATAGAGGCAGACTATCAAACGCATCATAGAGGTTATATATAACAGGGTTTGCAAATTAACACCAAGTTTCAGAAGGGATTAATATCAAATTTTGACATGAAAACTAAAAAGTGATATTTCACAAGAACCCTACTTCATTTCTCGAAAATATTGCCTGAAAGAGGGTGCAATGATCTGTTTATGAATAGATAAGAAAAAAGCAAAGAAGATTTCCTTCCATGATATGAGAAAGAATAGACCAGTCATCTCTGACCTCCAAGTTGAGCAACAACCAAAGGTAATGCAGGCAACATGCTTTTGTCTCTTCTGGTTTTCCAACTGCAACATTTGTAAGACACCAGGCTGCCTCAAGAAACTGTGGTATGACAGACAAAACAAAGACATCAAAATATATTTGTTTGAATCCCTAGAATTATCACTTCACTTAAAACTCTAAATGGTCTGAAGAACACAAATCTACTAGATACATGATTAATTTAAGTAATTTTACAAGGATAACCTTGTGCCATACACTAGAATTTAGGATTATGCTTATAGAGGGAAGAGAAACATTCCTAATGGTAAAGCAATGAAGTCCAAAATAACTTCAATTCTTCAAACCTGTTCATCTGAAGAGCCCAATGAAGGACACTGAACAAGTAAGGGTTAGCTTCCGCTTTAAGAGCAGCTTCAACAGGACAGAACTCAGATCTGGACAATAATTGCTGCAGTTGATGAAGTGCTTTCACCCTCTTCTGCATTGCCATTGGACCCTTTCCGCTAATTGTATAATGAATACACAGTAAGCCAAGTGTAACTAGACATTGAGTAAAAATCATTATGCCCTTGGGCCCTAGCAATCACACAACCAGCTAGAAGAAAACAGTTCTTAAGACTCGATCATACCCAAATAGCTTAAACCTAGGCATGCATACTGAGAAGGAACATCAAAAAGTTCATAAACTTCAGTTCAATTGATTAACATGATCAAAAACTCGAGGCTTCCATTATCGAACAACGGCAAGTTCTCCACTTTACTATCGGTTTCTTTATTGTCCTACATGAAAATACAAGCAATAGAATGAATTCATACGATAATAGATATTGAAGTATGAAATAAACAGAAAAGGGGGAAAAAGCATTACAAATCCAGAGGTTTAGCGAGGCCAAACGGAGAAAAATGGAACCTTGAAACAATCTAAAACGCCGGCGAACTTCTTCTTACCGAAGTTGGTGGCACTGAATAGAAAGAAGCTCCAATTTTCCATCAGCGAAGGTGAGGAACTCTTTCGAATTGGAAGCTAAGGCACGCCGGCGGCGGAGTTAGGGTTTGGACTAGTTCTTTCTCAGTCCTCCCGTAGAGGTTAGAGGCGAGAGGAATGTGGCTAAGGTGCTAAACCCAATCCGATGATCTAACCCAACCCACCCCATTCAAAAACGGAACACAGCCTTCTGATCCGTGGCCACTGCGGCCACATTCCCTCCTTTCAATTTAACTACTGTATTTAGTCGACAGAATCTCCGAAAAACATTTCTTTTGTTCTCCGATGTTGAGGAGTGGTAATATTGCAGAGTCTTAAACATGTCTTTTAATTGAAAGCTTCCATTGATATTCCTACCACGAACCACTCAGATTACCGAGTACAATGTTGGTCTGTTCGAATAATGAAGTTTGTTGCCCAAAATTCCATATTACCTTTTTTTTTTCTTTTTTGAGAACAGCAATAAATTTTATTTATTAGGGAGAATAAAGGATCCTCCGATCCAGTGTACATGATCCAAAGAAGGATAAAGAACAGTCAAAGATATTGTAAAAAAAAAAAAATTACAGTGAGAGATATTTGTAAAAAAATGCAACAGAGTACAGCATCCTTACTATCTCTCTGTTCACACATATTCTTTCCTAATTCTTAATTAGAATTGGATCCCACGTTGCTGGTAATGGGCAATATTGGTCGGTTTAAGTCTCGAGTCAAGATGCGAATATGGTGTGCAGCAAAAAAGAGCCACACGAATAACCAGAATATGGCGATATATGGCTTGTTAATTGAAATGAGGGAAATTACTGCCAATGAACCTGTCAGTAAGGTAATTATCTGTAAGATTTTACTCCAGTAGTGATGTGGGTCTAAGTTGGAACCATCTTCTTCTCCTTTGAGGCTAACTATAGCAACTAGCATTATAGCGCACAACATCATCATTATACAATATATGGATAACATGACTGAATACCAAATTGGAGTGGGCACAGAAAGTTGTATAAAAGGTGTGAATGCCGTTATTAGTAAGCCTAATATAACTGTTATTCCAACAAAAGAGTCACCCAAACTACAAAGCAAAGCCACAATGGAAAGTTTATTAGAAAAAATAATAATAAACAAAGAAAAATATGATGAGGAGATAAAGATAATAAGAACGAAGGAACAACCTCAACATTTGGCTGCCAGAGGAGGACTTTGTGGAAGTAGAGGACTAGAAAAAATAAATAATTCTCCTTCGATCCAGGCACAGACCCAAACAAAGAAGGAAAACTGATTAAGCCTTTCTCAAGCCGAAGCCCGAATTTGATGATGAGTTCAAGTAATTTGAAGGAATGATAGTTATGGTTATACTTATAGGGATTAGCCGTTTCCCCGTGTGGGGACAGAGGGAATAAACGTAATCCGGGGAGTGGTAATCTTTATATTCATCGGGGAGTGGTAATCTTTTTATTCATT